TACTCCGCTGGCCAGGCCACGTAAATCGCACTTGTCGGTACTCCGCTACTCCGCAAGATGTCTTAAGATAAGAAAGGTCCAGAAGGTCAAAACTTTCGTCCTCGCGATGTATTGCAATTTCGCCAGTGGAACCATCCATGTCAAGACACTTACGATAGGCGAATTTTATCAGGGCAGAAACTACGGAAACGTGCTTTTTGGGTGTAAGTAGCTGTTAGCACCGGTGACCATTGCACAAGTCGGAGACAATCGGAGACGCGTCATTCATTTACAATGCCGGCCAGGAGCACAGAACTACACTCGCTGGCAATCATGTACAAAACAGATTAGCACCATATGTGTGGCTTTGAGCTGACACCACTTGTGTAATGCACGGTTCGTGCCGAGACCAACTCTTGTCTGAATTGCGTTTTGAGGTTGGAACATTGGCCTCGCAGGCGGGTCGTCACGTCAAAAAGGACAACATAAGGCAACTGTTTTTTGTCGTTTGTTGCAGGTTACACGAGTTGGATGCAGCATTGGATTTTCGAGGAGGATCACTGTACCCTGAAATCGAAAGCCATGAATCGAAAGCCATTCCTGGTCGAGCTCGGTATGCAGTTAGATCAGCACATTCTGGTGTAAAGGGAAACCAACACGGACTGGCAGGATTCTCCGCAAAGCCATAGCTTTGGATTTTGAGCTCCTGCACAGCCAGCGGGAGCTGCACAAGCAATGGGGCGTTCGTCGCACACCCAGTGGATTGAGCCGCTGCCCGGTTCAGGTTGGTGAACTTTGCCAGCTGTGAGGTGTGGACGACGTTCCGTGGTCGCCACCGTACAGTCTGCGGACAGGCAGCAGGTCAGGTTCTTGAGTGGCAATGGCAGCGCTTCTGAAATGGCAGTTGTTGTATGTCTCACCGGCCCGGCAATAAGTTGATCAAAATCGTGATCGTGTGGACGTGTTGTTCCGAGACGAGCCCGTGCTGTGGGAGAGGCCAACGTGCCGTGTAACCTACAGCAGTAAGCCGCGTCAGTGCAAAGACGAGCCTGCGCATCGGGGCCTTGTTTGCCTATGTTTGGGGGAGACTTGGCGGGGTTGCCGCGTCCGGGCATACCATGTAGAAATCGGCTGTGCGGGCTACAGGCTTCAGGAGTTGATGCGAGGTGAGGCTTTGCCATGTGATTAGTGACGGATTGGCGAGGGCGAAGCGTGATGTTGGACTTATGTGGTCACAGCTTGCAGGAGAATCGCGTCAATCGCAATAGGCGAGGTTGCAACAAGCACTTTAAGGACCCACGGCAGAGTGCGGTCACTGCTACCATCTCTGATCTCTCCCGGTGATCAGGACGAGCTGCTCCTCAGGCTTTCCAGCGCCTCTGCATGTGCGATGTTTGCAGCTTGAGGTTGAGTCAAGCTGTCTTGTGCATTGCCTTGACAACCCTGCCGAAAGCGTATCTTGCAGCCGTTTCTTGCCATGGACAAGCCTGGTATGCCGCACATTGGTGCCGGCAGAGTGCTTGGACTTGAGAGCATTTGGAGCTAAGATGCAAGAACCGGCGCTCACACAATTTGCCATGACATGTGAGGCTTTAGTTAATGGGGCAACCTGACCGGAAGAGCTTCTGGCCTGGAGCCGAAGAGGGATCCTAGCCCTAGGCCCTAGGTGGCCTTCGGAAAGTTCTGAGCTCTCAGGTCCCTGTCCTGGCCATGGGCCCCTTTCCTCATGGCCTGTGTTAGCCCGTGCCACGGATTCGAAAGTGTTCTACAGGAAGCTGCACGCGGCTTGGATTTTTCCCAAGGTCGAGCTGTGTTCAGCTTGTACATTGTATTCCTGATCGAGGACAAGGCTGGCAACACTCGCAACCATGCTTCCATTACTGCATACTGCTGCGCAGTGCTGCTTCGCACATTTTCGTACTTCACATCCTTGCCACCTTCTGCTCAGGTCATCGGTTTGGTGCGGGACTCGGCACGGTAAGTGCTCTTGACTGAGCTCTGTGTCCCGGCGCCGGAGGCCCCTGTACTGCTTCGCTCCATCTGCTTCTATGCGGCCCGAAGCCTCAAGCGGAAGCGAGGGGCTGCGTTCAGCTGGCCCGGGCTGCAGGTCGCTGCAGTCTTCGCTACTTGGATACTGCGCCAGGCAACTGCAATGCGAATTCCGGCAGTGGGACACAGCTGCGAAGCTGGCGACCAGGTGAGCACTCTTTGCAATGTGCAGCCCACGCCCGACTTGCGAGTCTACGTGGAGCCCAGCACTCGGAGCTGCAGTTCAAGTCCTGCCAGAATGTTTTGCCGCGAGCCTTTGAGGTCTGGCAGCTTCCGCGACAACTCCGTGTCGTGGGTGTCAGCTGAGATGAGGGGTTGGCGCGAAAATATGGAGGAGCACCGCGCTTCCAGAAAGCGCCGGATGATGCTGAATCACTGGAAAACACAGAGGACGCGCATGTGGCAGCCGACTTCTGCAAAGATGCGTTCGAAGGCAGACAGCCGCCTGATCTGCCCTAGCTGCTTGTAGCTTGGAGCTCGCAGCTTGTGCCAGATGCGCTGCTCTTTGCTGTGCTGGATGGCCATGGAGGCGCAGCGATTCGAAAGTTGTAGCGAACGAGTAGCATGACGAAGCTCATCGTCTGGAGGCAGCGATGTCTCAACTTTGGCCTCGAAGCTCTTAACCCGAGAGATGGAGGTGCTCTGGAACATGTCACGTGCTTCTTGTGTCTGAAACGGCCTTTTGATGTGCAAGGCCTGCAGGAGAAGACTCCACACTAGCAAGATGTCTCAAGCGGAAGTGCTTGCAGAGGCAGCATGGGGATGGGAAAAGTGCAGCCACGTCTCAGATGCGAAAGGCAAGAGTTTGAAGACGTGTGGAGGTCGTCCGCCAGTCGCTCCCGCGCTTGGACGAGAAACTGCGAAGCGGTTCCTGGGGTAGTTGCCTTAGGCCTTCGAGGCATGGAGCCGGAGCCATCAAGATCTAAACCTAGACCTTGGATCTGAGCCTTGGCCCCTGATGCCTGAGGAATCGGGTGGCTGTTCCCGGGTGTTCTGCACCCGTTTGCGGCATGCGGCTCAACATGTGTGACCGCCGCCGTGGACCTCGTTGGGCGAGAGGCTGGAGCAAGATCCTTGCGAGCTTCAAGCGAAAGAAGAGCTTTCAGGTAATCGTTGGCAATGTGGGTGACTCGCGTGCTCTTCTCATACGGGATGGCAAGGCCGGGCATTGTGACCGCTTTGATGCACATCTGAACCACGACTATGGAATACCACCCACGCCAGGCCATCGCACTGTCCGAGGATCACAAACCTGAAAATCCCATAGAGCGAAACCGAATCCGGGCAGCTGGTGGCCAGGCAAGGCACGGCAAGAGTGGGACTGGCGACTGTCTTTCATCAGTCCTGTCATGTCCTGTCACACCTGTCCCTTGGATCCCCCCTTGCTGGGCAAACATGACTGCATCGCAGGTCATTAAGATTGGGCCTTGCCATCGTGTAGACGGAAACCTGAACCTTTCGAGGGCGTGAAGCTTAGCTGGAGTCCGCACACATGCAATCCTGCACCAGAACAGCTTTGCCTCTGCCGGCAACACACTAACGTCGCAGGCATTTGGTGATTTCAACTACAAGTCGACGGCACACCTTCCGGCTGAGAAGCAGAAGGCAAGAGGGCCGGTCTTACGTCGCAAAATCGGAGTGGTATGCAATGGACACGTGCAGTTTTCATTAGTTTTGTTGCTTCAAAGCAGGTTCCGACGCGAAAGCGCGAGCTTTGTGCAGTGTACATTGCATGCCGACGGGACTACTTGGGTTTGATCTTCAGATCTCGACCGGATGCTTTTTGGGCACGGAGGTGATAGCATATCCAGATGTGACGCGAACGGCCTTCCGTGGCTGGCTAGGGCCCTAGCACTGGCACCGTCATGTGTAGTAGCTTTCTCTCTTCCGAACCTATTGCGAAGGGCAATCTGTCGCCGGCATTCCATCTGCCGCGCGACACTGCGCGGAAAGGTAGGATCATCACTCCGTCTGCAGTACTTCAGAATATGTAGACTTTGCATCATCCGGTGGAGCTCTTCCTAGCTGGCGGCATTGAGCAAATGTGAACAGCACGGCCAAAGCACCTCGAGCACTTGGAGGTCGCTAGATTATAACTTGCTGCACAAACTCGCAGAGCATCTCTGCAGTGCACAGTTCTGGAACCTTCAGAGCATCCCTCAGAGCATCCCTGGATGCCCGCCCCAGGGGTAGGGCGCAGAGAATCACTGGAGTAGTCTTCCTGGACCACAGAAGTGCCAACCCCAGAGCATCCCGCAGAATAAAGCCATACCCACAAAGTATCCCGCAGAGGTATCCCACAGTCCTCAGTGTTTTGTCATATGCCTTTGGTGGCCACTAGGGATGTTGGGCGGCATGGCTACCAGAATGTCTCAGCGTAGCTTGTCAGATTTTACGGCTGTTAGTTTGCTCTCCTCGATCTGCTGTACTCATCCGTCCAAGCCGCGCCCACCGAGTATGCTGCAGTGAACCCTCCACACGGTCAGTCGTTCCTCAGTTTTTGGCTCAAGTTTTGGTTCAAGAAAATGTGCCTGCAGTCAGGTGGCGATGGCAAGGTGGGTGCATTGTCACAATGCCCAGCCGAGCGGCTAAATCTCCAAAGAATGAGAAGTCCTCCTTGCGCGGAATGATGAGAAAGGAAGTTCATCACCCATGCAGCTCCAGTAGTCCCAAGTGGATGCAAGGAGGATGAAAGCGAGACGGAAGGATCCTCAAGCAGCGTGCGCACGAGGTTGGTTAGGTTGGTTCAAGATTTGCAAAACTACTGCAAGGAAACATTGTCATCTCCCACCGCTGTGGACATGATGCTTGAATTCAACATTAAAACTTCCCGCGAGTGGAATCATCACAAGACACTTCGCGGCGCAGACGAAGCTGCATTCGGCACCGGTGCGGATCCTCCAAATCAAAAAACGGACCGTGCTCGCAACTCAGGCTTTCCAAAAAGCAAGCAAAACCGGAAAAACGAGAATCACAACGCGACGGATTCCTACTGCAGCAACACCAGCCGCAGCTCACATTCCAAGCGACAGCATAAAGTTGCTGAGCCATCGTTGCTTCCTTGTGTCCAAGCAGGCATGCAGATGGAGCTCACTGTGCTGTCATTAGTTTGTTTGCTTCTGCACCAGCCGGCTCTGTTCACAGGCTGTCTCCCAGCTTGTCAAAACTTGTCGGGCTTGATACTAAACGTGCAGTTGGCCACCCGCGTCTGACCAACCCAAATGATGTCCCGCCGATAATGGGCATCAGCGGGGCCGGCATCCCCGACCACATGCCGGATGAAGTGGCTGAGGTGAAGGAAGCGACTTGGCGTTTTTCAAAGCTTCGGGGGTGCAAGCCGCAGCTTCTGGCTCTCACAGATGCTGGTGCTGGCTGCTGGTGCTGGCTGCTTTGTGCCGCTGTCATCATCAAAATTGAAGTGAAACATGTGCACTGAAGCACGCTTGCCCGTAAAATTTGTGGAGGAGCGTTTTGACCCTTACTTCTATCCTACACGAAAAGGACATATCACTAGCTTGTCCAAGCTGAAAAGAAAAGCACCAGCCATCCGTTGTTGCAAAGACAAATGGCAGTTGTGAAGGCTTCACAAGTACTCGGAGGAAGCAGCTATTGACACATCCAGGCGTTGCGACGAAACGAGATCTTGTGGCGAGGCTGGGTTCGGAATGGTTCAAGTAGGACGAACCCGCACGCAATGATGGCTTCACGAATGCCCTTTTGAACCAATCCATGAAGCATGCCGCTGGTTTAACAACGTTCGTGCTCGTCACGATCTTTGACCACCACCCTGGGCTGTTGCTGACGTGCCCATACATTTCAATCGTTTCGCGCGGGCTGTGACTCGGCCCCTCAATCAAGTCAGCCAGGCTACGGTAAACGGGTGAATATGCCTGCAGTTTTTCTACAGCACGTGCGTGGAGCCAGACGAGCCGGCCAGCCGGTGTTCTGGGTCTGGATATATGCTCCGCGAATCGAGTGCGATACTTGCTGTGTGCTCGCCGATGGTTCGCTACGCCCTCCGGCCCTCCTTGCGGGCGGCGAGCGGGCAACTTCTGGGCTGCATTAATTGCTGTTTTTGTGCTGCTTTCTGCCTGGTCGCGCACGCCGAGGTCACCGTCTGACACCTTTGTTCACTGCAGCACTCTCCTCCACTTGTGTCGACACGATGCGGTTGAATGCACCGAGAAGGCCAATCCACTAGCGGCTGCGGCCGGTGGCCTCCATACACATGTTTGCTGTTCAGCCTCGGTCGCAATTTTCGAGACACGTCTCCGGCTCCCCCCTTCGTTTGGTGTTTATCTTTCTGTGCCGGGTGT